CACACACACACACACACACACATCAGGCTACTTCCCATTTGCTGAGGGAGAAGGACCACTTTTTCTGAGTTTTCATTTACTGAGCGTGAGAGCAAAGTCTCTTAAGCAGAAATTCGCCTGGCTTCGTGCATGGTTTTTTAAATTGGATTTCTGCTTTGTGTCCATAGAAATATTCTCCTATTAGAAGAGAGGAAGTAGAGACATAGATATTCTGCTGAGATATTGTTGTTATCATATTTGAGTTTTAAACGACTTAAGACAGCATAGAGTCGTAACTTTTTATGGGTGAGAATCCATGATGGTGTAACTTGGACAAGAACGTGGTTCTCCTGCCATCGTGTCCACGCGGGTGAAGAGGCAACTGGTTGGGGGATGGCAGGGATCCTCTTGCTTGAGTTCCAGGGTCGTGTTAGTTTTCATTGCTCAACTTCCTTTAGTTTATGTCCATGTGGCCTCTCATGGGAAGGTCACTCTTTACTGATAGACTGAGTTACTAATCAGCAAATAGCTCTGGACCCACTCTTATTTTCCAGAGTTTTTCTGCTGACCTGCTGACACTTTATATAAATGAGACCTAACAAACTACTGGATATAAAATCCTTATTGTTATCATTTGCCCTCGAGTTCCATAGGAATGGGGTGCTGTCTCAGGCTGTCTAAGGCTAGATCTGAAGAAAGATAGGGTGATAGGCTGTGCTGCTGGACCCTCCCCAGTCGAATGGGATTTCCACCTTAGTTTTTAGAATCAGGCAGATGAGTTCAAATATTGTTTTTATCAGTTTTTAGCTTTGTGACCTTGGGGAAGTAACTTTACTTTTATGGGTTCCAATTTTCTTTATCTGTAAATAAGTTCTGTATTTATTTTATGGTTTTTGTTTTAGAATTGAAATATGCTAATTCCCTCATTTATTCCTAAAATACTGATCACATGGTTCTATGCTGGTGATTTAGTAGTTGATTACTAAGGGACTCAGCAGTGAGAATGGGGGTGGGGCCACTTGGATCATAGAGCTTATATTCCAGGATATGCTTGTAAAAGACTGGATTGTAGTGGATTTTTAGTAAATGTCCATTCCTTTCCTAATCCCCATTGATTGTGTATATATATTTATACTAATATATGAACAATTTTTTTTCCAATTTAAATCTCTTTATAGTATTTAAAGAATGTAGCTATAACAAAAATACGTGAAATAAAATGATTTGACTTTTATTTTCCTTTCAATAAGCAAAACAAATAAAATAGAAAAGAAAAGAAAAAGTATTGAAGGAGTAGAAATAATTTTATTTCCGTGGAATCAACTCCCTATGTTATGTTTTTCCGTTGTGTTGTTAAACAGCATATAAAATTGACAGTTTGTGACTTCAGTGTTGATACCTAGGTGAGTATAGTTTCTTTTTGTGGTTGTCTTTGATGAATTAATTGCAGTAGATCATAAATGATGTGCATGTTACATATTGGAAACGAGGAAACAGTGGAGACATACTACCTCCAATGCAGTCATTTTGTTACTGAGTCCAAACTCTTTCTGCTCGCCACATGACAGGCCAATAAACCGGGAGATGAGGTGTTGGAGCAAGGAATAGTGACTTTATTTGCAACGCTGGCAGACCCAGAAGACGGCAGACTGATGTCCTGAAGAACCATATTCCCCAAGTCAGAATTCAGTCTCCTTTAATACTAAAAAGGGGCGGGGTTGTGGTTGGTTGTTGCAAACTTCTTGCTATATGAATTTTTTGTCCTTTGAATCCGCTGTTCTTGCAGCTGTCCATGTGGATCAAATCATTGTGCCCCTGTAAAACCTCCAAAAAAAAAGCTTATTCTCTATTTTGCAACTTGCCATCTCTACATAAGTGCAGATGAGCTAACATTATTAAAGATCAGGGCCCGGAGAATAGGGTTTCCTGTAGATTTCAGGCTAAAGGAAACTTCCTTTTACAACTGGTGCAGAGCTATCAAGTCTGAGCCTAGAAACGGCACAGGTTTAAAGCCAAAGGAACAGATCAAAGATAGGGTCAAAATTGTTCTTTTTTATTACAATTCCCTTTTCAGCTTCATAGATAATTTTAGTAAGAAACATGAGCAATTTTGTATTTTTGCTTCTTACTAAGTGACAAGTGGGCCAATTACAGTTTTGTAAGCAGGGATGCTGTGCGGGCATTGGGGTGACAGCAAACTCTTGTTGGGGATGGCCAACCCTGCAACATGTCTGATGCCCGGGAGTGTTGGTGAGGGTCCCCCTAGCCAGGGGCTCCCTTCAGGAACTAGCATATGGGCATTGACCTCTGGAGACCTGTTTTTCGGCTTCAGGAAATTTTTTCAGATACTGTGATTGAAAAATCACTCCAGCTGGGGATAATTAGGGAGAAAAGGAAAAGGAAAAGTGTTTGGAAAAGAGTAGAAGAGCAGGACATAAGATCACAGAGCCTGAGTGCTTGGCAGCAGGGCCTCGATAGAGAGGGGAGCAGAGGTGGGGAGGGGCCTGGCTCGGGAACCAGCTCCTGTACC